ACTAGTTTAATACCTTTGATTTTTACTTCTTTCCTGCTCATATTTTTCAATGCGCTCCAACGTTTGAAAACAAGGTTCACAAACTTTAAACTTTTTCGAGGGCTCATTCATGTATGGCAGAACAGCCTGAAAAGACTTGGTCCTCCCAAAGCAGTATGTAAAGAAAAATTCAAACTTAATCAAAATTTACCTGCTACAATTACACAACCTTCACTACTTCATCTTACTGCACTTAAAAGTTCAAGTAGATAAGAACAGCGAATTAAAAAACTGAGTAAAATTCGAAATTAACCCTATGCGAAGTGCAGTGAGCACATAGCAATCTTCCACACGATCTACAATGATGCCTCCTTAAAATAAAGGTGAATTTGGAGCAACAAAGCATACAAGTAGTCATTTCCGCATCGGCAATCCATTCTGGTTTCACCTTCAAAATATACTCTTTCACGTATTGTCGCGGAAAATTAGTTATTTTAACAAGCGTAAAACTAACCTTCCCCAGCTGCAACTCACTTTCTGTCAAACGCGTATTTGTAGAAGCTGCTGAGATATCATGTGTACTAGCAATAACAGAAACAGCTTCAGGACTGATTTCAGTTACTTCAGCGTCATCGCTCTCCCCCTGCACAACAAAATCTTCAAGCATTTCTTTAGCCTCCTCATCGGGGCTGTTCTCGTCTTCTTTCGGCTTTGTGGTCTCTGCCGCAACCGTATCGTCAACTGCTTCTAAGAGACGAAATATGAAAACCAAATAAAAAAAAGACAATGCGCTTTATGATTAAACTTTTCGAGTAAAATTCTTTAAAAACTAGAAAAAATCCTAACTTTCGTCAGAAGTCGTTCCTTTCTTGTCACAGCAGCTTCCAACTTCGTCGGAGGTTTGACTCGGGCAAACTGCTGTTTCTTCTACAGCAACTGCTTCACATTCAGAGGGTTCAGAAGCACTGCCAGTTTCCTTATTAACAAAGAGAATTACCTGCTCCTCAACTACATCTTCAGAACCTGAAGGGCTGATTTTATCCACAGATGAATCGCCATTTTCTTGCGGATAAAACGCGTCAAGAAAACCGCTGTTAGAATGAGCCACGTCTCTTCCTACAGATTCATCCATCTCAGCTGTCTTCTGAGAAGAATCCGCGGACTCACCATTGAAACCTCTTGCCTCATCCTTAGTATCTTGAGCAGACGAGATTGCGGTCTTTTGTTCAACAGTCACTTCACACCCCGTTTCTTTTTTAGAAACGGTCTTTCTACTGTCGGAACATTTTAACACCTGACTATTACAGCCCTCTTCAAATGCTTCCTTCTGGCACTTCTCGTCGTCTAGCTTTGCAACACCTTCAAATTCGCAGCTCTTTACAATAGTACTTTGTAGATGACCATCTGACTCCTCCTCCTGGTCTTGCTCATGATCCAAAACTCCCTTTGAATCATCTACAGAACTGCTGCGCAGCTCTTTTTTCGCACAGCTCCCAGGCTGCTCTTCTATCTCATTCACAGCACGAAAAACACCATCTACTTCTGACGACAAACTTTTGTCAAGAAATGTCTTGTCATCAGAGCAAGAATTTCTACGATTGGCAGCTTTTTCCGAAGACCCAGCGGAGAGTTTTAAAATCATATTTTTAGCCCTATCTGATATCTTCCGAATGCGATGCATGTGGATTTTGGGTTTCACATAATTTTTTTCATCCTCGTCAGAATTTTCGATTGTTGTAACAATCTTCTCATCTTCCGGCCGAATTTGGTTTTGCCCAGAACAACTGAAATACGCATAATTAAGACAAATCTGCCAGAAAGAATATAGAAGACATTGTTTTCTCTATTATAAATTCTTTATTTTGTTCAGCAGCTGACAGTCTTATTAAAACCGACTTTAGCAGACTGTTGCATATATAAAAAAAATTTTTTTCTCTAGAAAGTATGAGTTGCTCAAAATGAAGAAGAAACAAAAAGATTGCTTCTTCACCCTCCAACATACATACCGCCTTCCAAAAAAATTAACAGATGAAAACCCGACAAGTAAAAATCCAACATACTTAGCAAGATAAGCTTCCATTTCAGCAAGATCAGACTCAGTCGGCTTTGAAGGTCGCAGAACCTGCAAAAACCTTATAACAATCTACGTTATAAAGAAAATAACTTGTCTACGAAAAAAGCAAGTCTAAACAATACCTTTGAACAAAATATTCACTGATTACGACCCATAAGCAAAAAGAGTGGATGATCAGGTAACTCATTTTACATAAATTACAAATGCAAAATTGTATACAAGCAAATTTTCTCCGCTTCGCGAAAAGCTCTTCCATGACTGTCAAATCATCCCAACAAGTGGGAGAGATAACTTCAAAATACAAAAATACTGCATTAAAAAAATTGCCTCAAGAGTGAAGAATTTAATCATTACCAATATTTGACGTTCAAAATAAATATCCTCTGGAAGAATTTTCACTCACTGTTATAAAGCGACTACACTAAACAAAAGTAAAAATTTGGAACGGTCAATTTGGAGAAATAAACAAAAGCACCTTTTTTTACTTTCAATGACACTCTCCAAACCACCTAAAGAATGAATAAGAGAATGCCATCTTAAGGATCGAGCAAAATCAGATGGAACTGAAGGATATCTATCAAACTCAGTAAGCGATTTAAATGAAATGGAATAAAGTGATAACAGTGGGAAATAAAGCAACCATGAAACAAACTTATAATTAAACGCACATTTTCAGTATGTGCACTGTCTGCCTGTCGTTCAGAGTTTGATTTGCATAACGCGGTTTCATCACCACTCACTGCACGGGAAACCAAAACCAAATGATTATTTGACTAAACAACAAATAACACTTTATAGCAGAAAAAGTGGCTGAATAAATACCCTGACTGAAAAGAATTCAACATCTGACTTTAGATATATGTCAGAACTGAAAATAAAAGAACAATGGATTGTACCTAACAAACTACTCCAGAAAGAAAGATCGCGATTTCAGTGCATAAAAAAAACTACAGATTACAATTTAATGAGAAGAACTATGAAGAGTACACAAAAAATGAACTTACTTCATCACTGTGGCCAAATTTAGCACCTTTAGCAGGCGAATTGTCATCAATACTACAAAATATTTCCTCTAAAACTGACAAAGTACAATTGTCAACACCAGCAGTACAACCATCCACCGAATTTCCATTGCAGCAAACTGCAGCAGAATTATCATCAGAATCTAGATCAATCAAATTACACGTCGAGCTATCTGCTGAGCCAACGGTGTTCTCAAAATGTTCGACTGACGTTTTAGCTTTCTTGGACAAATCCACGGATGAAGATTTATCGCCTTGGACACTGCCATTAATTCTTTCTTCACTCGAAAAACTTTCTTGACGTTGTGAAGATTGACCATGCGTAATACCGTTTGTACATGGTGAAGGAATAACTTCTGTTCCTGAATTACTACAACTTTGCCTGTCTTTTAAATGAGGCTGCTTTTCATGATGATGTTTCTCCGTAATTTTTGTTTCTGAAGCCTCTAACTGGTCAAGAATTTCATCTATATCTGGTACCGGGTCCATCTTGACCCTAAAATAAACTGTATGATGTTACTCCTAGCGTGAGCTGCGAACTGTAAAAAACATACTACCGGTTAAGTACAAAAATATAACGGCGGAGAGGATGTATCGTAGTAATTCCTTTAATACAAGACTGAATCTACTGCGTAGTCTACAAAAAAAACCATCAGTGTCTACCGGGAAGGTTTATGGCTTATTAATGGTCTCAAAGCTTTTGCCGTACTCGTTCTCCCAAAATGTTATTTTCAACAGGTGTACACCAGGCTTGTCAAATTCTCTTTGCCTAAGAAATTATCTCAGTAGAAAAAATGAATCACTTTTGTGTCACACTAACAAGGTAAACAAAACAACAGCAAGAAAAGTCTTTAAAATACCACAAAAACATTCATCCATCCAACTTTTTTCACTTCTCTCGAACTTCCGTTCAGAAATTCTCTTTCGCGTTATTGACTGTCAGTCACAAAATGATCAAATGCGAAGAGAAAAAAAAAAAAAGGAAAAGGAACCGTACGCAATACACTAGCCGGTAGCCCAACTTTTATGATCATAAAACAACTTAGGATCAAACATATGAGCGATGCTTTTCAGTGCTTCAACTTCAAGTAATCTGTATATTCTCAAAGTAGAAAAAAGGACGCAACAGTACCAAAACAGAATATTGGATAAGACAACCTAAATGACGATAAATGATCAACAATAAACCCATAAACTTATTGAATCTTTCGTCTTTTTTCTATAAAAAATCATAGCATCAACAACAAATAACAACGGCGACGACAACATCACCAACAACAATAACAAAAATATTTGTTTAAACTTTAAACGTTATCACGTTTAATGGTAAGCAGAACCGACAAGAAATCAACCTGTTTCCTTCTCCACCATCTATTTTGTGCTATTTTTTATAGAACTACTAGATATGTTTAATGTAATGCCAAACAGTGACAACAAATAGCACACTT